ATAATTGCTCGACTTTTTTACCATTTATTAAATTAAATATAGTTGTATTATATATAGTTGGAATATGGTGACATGGAGTAAAAATAATATTTTATTTGAGTTGTACAGACCCAAATCAGACTGAATATTTTATGAAAATATAAAAATAAAACTATTTATTTACAATAAATAAAAACATACTATTGCAATTCGTGGAATCGATTAATTTCACCATAATTGTTTATTCAAACTAGTAACTATAAAAAAAAATATTGGAGTTTTCAATTGCTTTGAGTTGTATGATAATATATTTTAAAAATGTATTTGATACCTACGTTTAATTAACTTTATAATATTCAACTGGCTACGATTAAGGACTATTCTGTATTCATTAATTATTTATTACTATTTGGAACAGAAATGCTCGATTAATGATTATGATTATTGCATTACCCATCCACTAACAAAAATAATTTATGCTTATTATCATTCACATATTTTAAATATTTTACCCATATGTATACGTTTTGTCTATAAATTAATATCTGCTTTTTGTGTATGTGTGTGTGTGTGTGTGTGTGTGTGTGCAATACTATATTAATGCATGAAAAAATATTAAAGTATCTTTTTTAATAGATTATAATTTATTAATCGCTTATAAGAATAATTTTATTAACATTTTATATAATAATTACTATATTATTAAATATAAGCAATAAACTCTCATAACAGCTTCAAAACTCAAGACTAATTCACCACTTCCTCGGTGCAATAGAATTTACATAATATATAGATATGCTATATTATGATGTATGCACTATATTGCATTAATATATGCTGTTACAAGTCAATTATCTATTATCCTCCAAGTCTCCTCAGAACCTTGATAAGATAGGAGTTAAAGAATATGTATTTATATTTTGAAAATAAAACAGGATATACCTACCTACAAAAATAAAATCATATTAAAATGCAAATGATAAAAAAGGTCGAAGATAAAACATCGATTTAATATAAATTAATAACTATAATCAATACGATTAGTGTATAACAATGTAATTTAAAAGTTTATACCAATAGTAATGTTAACATCTAGTATTTTTTTTGTACCATCATAAAATGTTAGGTATATTAGGTATGCTATTATTTTAATTTTAATAATTACCAGAATTCATTTTTGTACCTAACATAATATGGTAAATTATAAAACAAATATTTTACATAAGTACTTCACTCATACCGACGTACATAGTATGTACTACATACAACACATTTTATAATATTTTAATAAGTAATAAGTAATAACAAATAAAGAAATGGAGTATAGCGTGTAAGATCTAAATGTTGTCAAGTTAATATAGTAAAACAAATATATTTGATCAATTAAAGTTATTGTTTGGAACAAATATTCATATGATTTAGGTATTTCTTTTATTTATAAACTAAATATCTAATAGCTTTTACTTTTACAGTTTTACATTATACTTTTATAATTTTATTATCAAAGTTTAGAAATTAATTTAATTTATGAATGCAGACATATTTAAATACAATCCGTAAATGTGTAACAATGTGTATATACCTACGAAAATTATATTTTTTATTCGAATAGTATAAAAAATTGTTTGCATTAAAAATATGGCAATATTATTTTATTTGATATTAAAACCATGAATTGTTTTAATTTTACATTTTTAATTTAAATTTCATTTTTAAACAAATATAAAAACAATTAAAAATATATTTTCATAAATTAGTACTTAATTAAAAAGCATAGGCGTAATACAAGAGTAATAATATACCTACTATAATTAAAAGTACACAAATTATTATTAATTATGATTAACGAGGTAGATAATTCTGGAAACAGCAAATGTAAAACTGTGAAAACTTCTTTAATATCCATACCTAACTAGTCCTTTATATTACTTACCTTAGTACACTGATTAAACTTACTAAACTTATATAGTTTACTAGTTGTAATAGTGTATTACAAGCATTGCCTAAGGATAAATGAAACCAAAATGGGGAATCCCCCTACGGGGGTTAATAATAATACGAAACTTTTTTTTATGTGAACCAATTGTGAACAAATTAATATGCTTTTATTTAAACATCACGCATTCAACATGCATCTACTGCACCAACTCTACCTTTTCAATAATTTCTTACTTGAACTTGTACACAGTACATAGTCCTAGTGAATAATTGAGGTAATATGAATACAAATGATGTATCTAGTCATATACATCCGAAGGGAGGTAGATAGGACAAGTCCACTACGCTCACTCTATCTGAGACAATAACCGGAAGAAGACGGGAGATGCCCTGCCTCAACAACTCCTACAACAACATATATGATCATATTACATTTTTCCACCGATTTGATGTCAGCCACTCTAGGCTGACCATGCTTGGCTTCATCGTGAGCCGGCCTAAACCCATCTCACTGGAGTACTAAATTGACACCCATCAGTAGCCCGTCTAATCCTCTTGATTTAGAAATTTTTCTTAAACTTTAGAGCCAAATGTCGGAAATGGCGAAGCGTGTAGTCTCCAACTCTCCTCTTAGGTGTAGTAAGAGACTTTGATGAGGACAAAAGCGTTCAAGGACAAGAAGAGGGGTTTCCTTACGACAATCCGATGGGTCAACAGTTCTGGGAAGTCCTCCCCTTCTCCGACGGTATTGGCCTGCGTGGTCTTCCTCGTCTCTTACTACCACCTCTGTCTACGTTTTGGGGAAGAGAGAATAAGGTGTCGTTCGATATGGACCCAGGCCCGTTGGAAGGGTTACCCAGTTTTGTGATGGAAATGGCCTGTTAGTTGGAGTAGAGTTTATTGATGACTTTGGCTTCCTTAGATTCTATTTTGAGGGAATGCTCTCGTGTGCGTAGCCGATAAACGTCAGTTTATTAGCTCCTGTGGGAAAGCATCCTTTTTAAAGGAAGCCCGAGTATGAGCGAAACCACGTTGCAGTGAGTGACCTACCAGGATTAGAACAATGTTCCATTGTTCCTTTAGGTACTTTTTCTATTAAAGTATTATTACCTATTGACTAGTATGTAATACCTAGTAGGTACCTACCGAGTACCGAATACCTATGCCTATTGCCATACCGAATTACTACAACAAAATATACAACCTGTTCCTAGCTACTTGTGTCGCTTATAATATGTACTCGACGATTCATACGCGGAACCACGCTTTTCAGCTTACAATCTTACTTATTTTTGCCACATTAGTTTTGGAAGGTAGGTTTTTATAGATTGGGAAGTTTTAATAGAAGTATGTGTTATTTTAAAAGTCAAAAATTGAAAAGATGGTTGGTTTTGTGTTTCAGAAGTATTTTGCTGGATCAAAACTGTATTAGGGTTATCAATATTTTCCTCTAGATCTAGCTTGTCAGTATTTTCAGTATTTTCAAATTTTTTTATTTACATCATATTGTATGACGTGTTTTATTTTTAAAAGTCTACAGAGGTTTGGGGTTGTACAACTTTTATGAGATTAAGAAACTAAACAGTATTTACATTTTGCTGATTCGTTACTCGCTTTAGTAAAATAATACCAAATATCTCTTGTTTCCCCACTCATTATTGACAATTAAATGAATTATTAAATAATTACCAAGAATAATGTTTGTCAAATGTCAAATGAACTGCGAGTTGCGACTTTATTATTTAGTACATTATATGCATTGTGATTTAAATCATCAAATATAATTTTTATGTTTAACTGTATGACTATGTTTATAAATTATGTTCAGTCCCTCACGAATTAAATTCTGGCCCTTGCCCCAACACCTGCTTTCCAGAAGACATTCAAAAAGGCACAAGCCAGGTATTAACGTTGCCCGATTTTTCACCTAACCATATTACCAATTGATATTACACATATTTTATTTTATTTTATATTACCTGTTACTTAGTGTATTGACATTTTACTTCATTTTATTTTATTGTGTAGGTTGTTGATTGTATTTTATACTATTAGTACCATTATCACTGTTATACATACTAAGTGCCTGACACGAAAAAATACCGAGATACACATAACTATCAAACACAAAGAAAGGACAGTTGTTGACAATACGATTCTACTACATAGTAGCCATAGTAGTATAGTACTAAAGTATTATTGTTCTAAAATTAAAAAAATTAATTTAAAACTAATCATTGTAATTTTTAATATATTATGACTAGATTGGCATAGCGTTTGATATAATACATTTTGATTTTGGTAATGAAAAAAACATAGTGGAGATAAACAAAATGTAATGCAAATCATTTATCTTATTACACTACAACAAGTCAATAATATATTAATATGCCATTTTTGTGGTCAGAATAATCGAGATATAGTTCATGTTCAATGTCTACTGCAAAAAGAAAGATATTCAATTCATAAAATTAAAATTAAATTATATCTTATTTATCCATTAAATTATTATGTCATGGATATTTTTTTTTTTATAAATCTTAATGTTTTAGTTAATTGGATGATAATACCGAGATACAGTTTGTTGTGATACATTGATACATGTTAGTAATATAAACGTTTATCTTATCACTTAGTATAATTTCATATTTATGACTACTAAGGAATATGTAGTGAATATGTAGTAAATAATATGAGTATATGCCATCATACAACTATTTATCTGGAAAGGTATTTAACAGTCTATACTCTATTATAACTTAACATTAATTATTTAAATAATATAATAAAACCAAGAAATAAATAAACAAATATTGTAAGATAAATATCATATAGCTTATATTAAATAATAAATAGTAATAAATCACACAAATATTCTAATTAAATTTATAAAAAGTCACACTAAAAATAAGTAAAAAAATTGCTTTGGTTTTTATTAAGCCTATTTTAAAATAAAAAGTTAATTATTATTAAGATAGGTAGTCTTATATTAGTAAAACTTAATTATTAAATAAGTACTCAATTATTTTTGTTTACACAAAAGTTATGTTTTAAAAGATCATAAATTTTGTTTATAATAACATTTACATTGTAAACGTTGAATCGCCATTAATATTGTTAGGCATATTCATCTCATTACCGCTATTGCTAATGTTTGTTATCGTTGTATCATCTTCTTCGTCTTGGTTATCATTATTGTCATCATATGTCAGAGTATTAATATTACATCCACCGTTATGATGGAGGCCATAAGGACCACGTGTGTTTGTTGAATTAATGAAGCCTGGATCACCACTTCCAAAATGAGACGAAGTAGCGGCTATCAGAAGTGGAGCTAACTGATCCGTAAATCGTCTGTAATTACGCTCAAGTTCACGTTGATAATCTCGTTGATCCGGACCAATAAGAGTTTTGTTTTTTGCTAAAGCATCAGCACATCTAGATAAATAAATAATGCACATAAATCACCATAGTTAAATCGCGCACAACGCCAAAACAAAATCCCAAATCAATACTATGTAAAAAACTAAATTACTTTTTGGAAAAATCTTTAAAACACAGTCGTAATTTGTTTTGTAATCGTGGTGGTGGAGGTTGCACAGAACATTCATCTGGGACTTCTGGAATTCTATCATTGGTATTATTTTTGTCATATCGTGGTGGAGCTAAAAACACTGTAGCCATTTCCATAGGCCCTCGATTTACAGTAGTGCCTGGTTTTAATCAATAACAATTATTAAAAATCAAAAATACATGAACCGTATCTGAATAAAGTATTTCACTAATTACCTATACATCCTTGGAGGACCATTTGTAACATTTTTGGATCGGCCGGATGCTGACGGACACTACGTGCTAATTCGTCAGTTTTCTTTTTCAAGTCTTCTAACGCCACCTCTATGGGTCCCATAACAATCGTCTGGCGACTTTGTACGCGAATTCTGGTTTTCAAATAAGGAAAATGATGCGCAATGGTCAAAATAGTCTTACGTTTATACTGTTGATTTAGTTGTCCATGTGCTCGACCATCGGGAGTAAATGGTGTGAAAAACACAAAGCGTTCTGAAAAAGTTTTAAAACACGTAGGTATACTAAAGTAATTGCATATTGTATTAAAAATAATTACTCAAGTTAAAATTTCTTTGAAAATGTGTGGCACGTATACGGCGTTCGTAAGCATCAAAGTACGGTTCTACATATGTGATTTGTATATATGCTTTCCTTGGATCCAGTGAACTCACATCTACCGTGTTAGAATCTTTGATAATAGTTACACAATCTTCACCAAATCGTTCGGAATAAAAATTCTATATTTTAAAAAAAGCAAACATCGATCAATCTACATTTTATACACACATGGTTTACTCTTGAAACTTATAGTTTACCTGTAAACGTCCAAATATCTCTGAAAGTTTTGTAAGTGTGGGTTCTTTGTAGACAAATTCCTCACCATCCAACCCATCAGATCCAAAAAACTTGGCACCATAAAATCCAACACGGAAATACGTCCCAAATACCCGACGACCCTGTAACTTTTCTAATTTACCATAGGCATCGTGTAATTTCCTATTTAAATAATTCATAAGATAATTAATAAATGTATTTTGCCTTTTGTCTTATCATATTTCTATGAGTGGTGAATATACTTACAAATATGTATCCGATAGTTTTTTGTAGTCGTTAGTCTTTTCTATTAGAGGTATTGCTACCTTGTTGTACACTTGACTCATTACTTCAAACATACCGGCCTACAATTATAATTTGGTTGTAAATTATGTTTTTCTGTGTAGTAAAACAAAATAATGTTTTAACCTTTTGGAATAATTCTGCTGCTCTGTCCAACAATGACACAAGTCCAATTTCGGTGAATTCGTCGCCCAAACAAACTTGATCGGCCGCTTGACTGACAACCATCACATCATCCGATACTGCACATTCTTCCAACACATTGGGCGATACACACTCTAGACATGTTGCCCCTCTACATCCAATTAAATCAAGGTTTTCTGTCGTAGTCAGATACTCAATGACTAATGCAGCACCATGAATTAAACACATAGCAGCTTCGGTAAAATTGTTTCTCTGCAATAAACAAATTATTTTTGTTTATCGTATTATAGAAATACAAATTATATAATTACATGATTATAATATCTATTTATCATCATTTCTTTTAAAAATATAATTATCAAACCTGATTATGTTTACGAGCCATGTTTTCTAGCCATGCAAGCCGGAGATCCGGTGATGAGGTCTGCTGATACCCCTTAGCTACGCGGTACATCAAATCCATTAACATGTCTGGATCTTGGCTATATGCTTTCATTTGGACCGTATCGGAAAGTATTGTGTGCAAGTTCAACACCAGATCTTTTACCTAATAGATATAAATGTACAATAGAACCATTGGTATTGTAGTATGGCAGAAGTTATAGTTATGTATATATTTTTATTTTATAATCAAGTAAGCCAATGTTTAAAAAAAGTTTAAGTCATCCATGATTTTTTTAATACACCAATAACAAAGTTTTATTATTATTATTAGGTTAACCTGGTCGGGGAATGTAGTGTTTTGCAATTCAACAGAATCCCGTTCAGCATACAAAAGTATTGTCTTCAACACTCGTCTCAAATACTCTTCATTGAAACACAATCCTTCTTTTCTACTTTCAGATGCAGCTGTTGACGACGCTCCAGCTCCTCCTATTAATGTGCTTAATGCCACAGTTATTTGCATCTTCACACGAGCAAAATTCTAAAAAAAAAATATATATAATACATCACACATACTATATAAAAACAATTGAATTATTTTTATTATAAAATCTATGTCTTAGAATGTTACATTGTAAAGAATATTGTTTGTCAAATAACTACTAATGTAGATCACTACATCTGTTTGGATCAACAATTGTTTAATTAAAATTAAAGTTTTTTAATGTTATACCTAAATCACCTAGGTACATGAATTTCAATATAATTAATACACATACATTTTCGATATCAAAGTTTTGACGCATCAACGAGTATAAAGAGGCAGCGGCTTGTGCTCTGACTCCTAATGAACTCGATTTTATAGCACAATGGCGTAATAGCATCAATATAAGATTAGCACAACGATTAGATGATGGACTGCTAGTGGAAAAGTGGTAGTTTTCGATTTCTTTATCGTCGTCATTGACATCTAAATCTCTTTCGTCTTGGCCATCTCCAAATAAAAGTTCTGGAAACTTTGCAACCATTGATCTCTGTGTACCAAACATGCATTGTAATGCAGCTGTCGTTGATGTTGAACTAGTAGAACTACCACTAGTGTATTGTTGATTATTAGAAGTAGCAGTAATAGTAGACATGGCCCGTAGAAGCAGTTTGAAAATACGATGAATTGACCAATGGACAGGATTTGAATTTTTTAAGCCAGCAGGCAAAGAAGCCACCTAAAAACCATTTATTACCGTTAAACATCAATTTATGGATTTTTTTAAACATAATTTTATGAAAATAAAAAAAAAGACCTGAATGATTTGTTCAATAGTGTCAAGTATTATAAAACCAATTTCGTTTACTAAATCTAATTCTACATCAGGTTGATCTTGATTGGTGCCAAATATCTTATCGAGTTGTTGTTGACAATCGACATTACAGGAACAAGATTGCAATGATGAAGGCCTATTATATGTCAATACATGGTCTTTTCTCCATCTCACTTTACTAGTAGTACCGGTAGTGCCATTACCAGCATCGAGTCCAGCTGAAAATAAAATGATTATTTCAAATAAAAATTAAAAAATCAAATTTTAAACCAAAACAATTCACATTGAAATACTCAAAAATTAAAAACTAATAACTAACCCTTTCGACGCATCAACTCTGATCTAGCTGACCCTTGGCCTAATATAACATCCTCGAGCCTTGATTTCACATCATCAGTAGTTGACAATTGAGAACTAGATGATAACGATGTGGTTGAAGCTGTTGTTGACATGTTATTACTACTATCATTACTATTATACGTCTCACTAGGAGCTGGTTGGGCAGAGTTAGTAGTTGATGTAAATGGAGGTTGAGAATTACAATTCACACATTTATGGTTACCCTGAAATTAGGTAAAATATTGATTACAAAATTGATGTTGTATTATAGGCTTCAATATGTGAGAAATGCAAGTAAAATGAATCAAAACCTTTTTGTAGTTGTTTGAATTGTTGTAGAAACGGTTAATACACAATGTCAATATTGACAATGTATTTTGAGCTCTTTGATGAGATGACTCTGCCAACCACACTTGCATTATGTCATTGTCTAAATTTTTTAATATCCATAATATGCAAGCTAGGACTTTGGTGGACGTAACTGCATTCAATTTGGATTTACGGCAATTATTTTTATTTGTTTGTCTGTACCAAGACGCTGTGGTATTTTTTACACCCATTAATGATGACGCTGAAATGGCATTAACATTTTCATCGGTACTTTTTTCAGGAGCTGCAATTAACACTACAATTATTATTGACGAGTTATAACTAAATTTCATTTTTAATTATTACTTTTATAACCATCGACATAATGCAAATCAAAATCGCTTTCATTTTCACTATTGAGATGTTTATTTTTAACCACATCATTGCTATTTTCAAAGTCTAATTGCAATAAATTAAGAAATGATGAATCTGTGGTCACAGCTGTTAATAATGGTAGATACATGAGGGCAACTCTTGTTGACGCTTTGCGTCTAGACGACCACCTGTCTTGTTGATACCGAGTATCATGAGACGACATGAGACCCAATAATAAATCAACCACTTTTTCTTTGACTTTTAAATCACTTAACAAAAATTAAAATGGTTTGTCGTTAAAAATTTGTATAGTCAAATTACAATAATATAATATATTAATTTACCTTTTAGAACATTGTAACACTGTGACAAACTCTGATAACACTAGGCCAACCAAATAATGATGACGACGAAATCCTAATGATAATTCAGAATATTCTTTTACTGTAGATTCTGTAACAGTTGTTATTGTATTACTGGCCATTGACAAAGACTGACTTGAAATTGTAGATGCCACAGAGAACGTGGGTGACAGATTATGAAAATTATTACTAATCAAATTCAATGGCACATAATGTTCATGGCTACAAACGATTTTTAAAAAGTCCAACTGTGAAAAAATATTGTTAAAAAATGTGATAAAATTATTTAAGTAAGCCCACAAATATTATAATTGAGCAAAAAAATTTGGGTACTTGTGTAGTATTCTACATGCCATAAAATGCTACCTACCATAAAACTATGCTACCTACAGTAAAATATGACATACCTAATCTTCTATTTGTTATATTTTTATTTAATTTTAGTACGGGAAAGTAACTGACACTGTGGCTTAAGTTATTAAGAGGATGTGATACCAGCATATGTTGTCTCCATCTTACAAGTGAGTAAATTGTACATCTTAAGATACTCATAACTCGCTTTAAAATTAAAATACAATAAAAAGCCCATAAGTTGCCTAGATAATAATCTTACCTTTAGATTTTATAAAAGGTCAATTCACTCTAATTTTTAAATTAACAGAGCTGCATGTTTTCTGAGCGTAGAATTTTTTTATGTTAAGCACTTTTCAGACGGAGACAACACATCCGGGTATCACATCCTCTTAAGATAAACAACATATTATAACGTTCTTCAGTCATACAATATTATAACAGCTAAATATCAATTATACTGGTAACTATAATCCTGGGATAACGAAACACAGCATAGCAATACATTTAAGTTAAATAAATTGTTATTAATTAGTATGTAAAAATTTTACATTTTATTTAAAAAACTTTTTTAATAGGTAGGTATCTTTTTACTGTAGGTAGCATACTACGCCAAAGAAGTAAGTAGCATACTACACGAATATCAAAATTTGATATTTATTAAATACAATTACTTTTAGACTAGACAAAGCGGAGTAGTTTTCATGATGTGGCAATTGGATAAGAAGACTTTGCTGTTTTGAAAATAATGTTTTCACATATGTATTTATCAGACCAAATACAAATCCTCTGTCAGCTAAAGATAGCAAATCATGCAAAAACCACCCTAAATTGCAATTGATTATGTTCACCTGCTAGAAATAAAATTTGCTATAAACAATTTAGTTAAGTTTTATATTATAAACTATTTAGGCAAAATAAAAGTAATATATTATATATATTAAATCAGAAAAAAAAATATATTTTTAATTATTTGTATAATTTGTTTTAGAACTCCTGGGCCTCCACATGAGTTTTCTCAGTGGGACCCAGTATTTATATGTATATGACGTTAAATTAAATACAAAAAATTAAAAACAAATATACATATATATCAAATACTAGTTGATTCCGTGTACTTTGTTGGCCGTTAAATGTACCAACTCTATATGACTAAAGCTTTGTTCAATTCGTTATTTAATATTTGGTGTATGGTGTTCAAAATTTATCTTAACTTTTCCGTTGCCCGAAATAAAAATTCTGATTTGCAGCAATATATTATCAGACATGTATTATTACATATGTAATTGCAACGTAACAGGCCATTATTTATAATAATTGATAACTCCTTTGTTCATTAAGTGAGAACATATGTCTCAAAGGTTTTCATTTTCACATTTATACATATAGATTGTACATTTAACAACCTACCCTCAAAAATATGTGCAATTCTTGTCACATGAGATACTTTCAAACAAAATTATAATAATTCTGAATAAGGTTTTTAATTTATTACAAATGTTAACTGACTGTGTTAATTTTAAGCTTTAACATTATTAAAGTTTGAGAGTAACTTTTTTGAAAAGATTTACTATTCAATTTGTTATGATCATAATTTGGTTATAAGAGCACTTATAATTTATTATATTATATTTAAATGATAAAACCTACTTGGATAATTTTTACTATACAAAAGTAAATTGTACATACTTATATATATAATGGTTATACCTTAGAGTCTTTCTCGTAATTGGATACAATATCTAGAGCAAAACTCGTACATAATGTGGAAATATCGTCAAAAAATTGATCACTAAAACGATTTTTACGATCACCATCTAATCCTCCGGGCACCATTGCTAATGAAACAGCCATGCTTTTAATTATAACATCAAAAAAAAATCTGGAAAACAAAATGTTTATTTACGTTTGAAAATAACTTATTACAATTTTAAATCGTTAACCTTGAATTGTTAGCTGCCGCATCTCGGCGTACTGTACTAGTTGCTACCACCCATTGTAATGCTAATTCTTCGTGTACACTTTTCATGGAAGTCAACCTCTTTTGATCAGAACAGAATAGCTGATGTTGTTGCTCTTCAAATTGTGATGGTGGAATACCCCCTTGACAACGGCCTTAAAAATAATTGAAACCGTAATTCAAAATATTAGTAGGTGCTATTAAACAGTATTTCAAAAAATAAACAGCTTATTTAGACAAATAATTGTTTGAGTTTTAAATAAAATACTGCGTAACACAAACGATTGTGATAAATTCTTTATACATACCAGTTTTCATACTGCACGCCCTGTCCAACCCACTATTTTTAAATGCAGCAAAGGCATTACCATCCAAAAGTGGTGAAGAACAAGGTTTTTTTGTTGTGTCTGGATCACTGTTACTTCTGTGCAAAAAAATTATTATTTAGGAACACTTTTAATATTTTGCTTATTTTTTATTTAACAATAATACCTTAAGCGAAAATATTTATCTAGTCTTTCTGAATACTCTTGTCCACCAGAAAAATCATCATTTTCACTTTCACTTGTATTATTTTTAGCGTTTGCTACTGCTGCTGCAGCTACATTACAGCAGCAGCATTGATAACGCACATAAGAAGATAATATTTGCTGACCTTGTGAATGGCTCTACTCAAAAAATGCATTAAATTACATATAAAAAAAGTTGAATTGTTAATTTTCATTTTACCATTGTCATTGACACCAAATCGGCTAAAGTACGAAATATTGTTTGTCCCAAATTCATGGGTTGTTGATGCTGAGTAACAGGCGATTCTACCAATAGGGAGAGCAATTTATCGAGTACTACTGGTACATATTCTATAAGTGGATCAATTTGACAACGAACCAAATTTGAAATCCTATAAATTAAATAAAGTTTTTTAATAATTACAAACATATTTAAGTATTCCCTCTTAATATTAATATAATAATATATACCTACAGCAATTCATCATAAATAAAATATATAATATTTTTGAGGTTGTATGAAATACTATAACATTTTGCTAAATTAAAGCTAATTTAGGAAAAATAAAAATAAACATCCATGGTATAGAAAAATATGCTTTTTTTCAAATAATTTAAAAATCTGTACACCAAGTTACAATATGAAACATTTTATGTATAATAAATAGTATATTATGTTAACATTAAATTATAACAGTTTATAATATTTACATTTACTATCTATTAATTGCACATCCTGGTTAAACTTGAAAATAATTATTGCATACCTTTTCTTTGTAAATTATTTAAATTCAGTCACATTTTAAATAATCGAATAAATAAAACAATTTCCAATTTGATAACAAACAATTAATTGAACAATACCTATCATTTTTCATTTTTCATTTTTAAATTATAAACATTTTTTTTTTTCAAGCGACAAAATATTTTCAACTCTATTCTATAATATCCATAAAACGCTTTAATATAATGCATAAATCATCAACATTTTTCACCCCTGTTGAGTTGCATAAATTCAATAAATATATGTAAAAACCTGAAAATCCGCACTCTGTTCATTTTAAAAGAGAAGTGCCAACGTTCAATAAGACTGTTTGATTGGGGATAATTACTAGTTGTTCTATGTAAGTAAATTTTGAACAGTTTCTCTAATAATTGAAAAAGTTGAGATTCGTATTTTTTACCTTGATACGTAATGATTTGGAGTGGGACGTAAAAGTGAAATCCAAGCAAACAAATGGCTTACCAATAGTATTAAAGGAAATGTATTCACGGTGGTTAATCAGTATATTTTTTTTATTTTTTATTTAAATTTAAATCTATGAGATTACTGGGCCTCACTGAGACATACTCGTGTGGAGGCCCAAGTATAAAATCTATTGAGCATCAAATATGACCGACTAAGTCGACGTGCACATACATGAAGTTGGTGTAACAGTAAAATTACCAGGCGTAATAGAAATATATTTAAACTTTGATTTGTTGTTATTGAAAACAGAAACAAGACCATCCACGGTTTGTGCATGGAAGGTCAAACCAAACATTGGAACAACGACCATTTAGAAACATTAGATCTAGGTGAATATTTTTTAAAACTTAGCATTTGAAAAAGATGATGGTGACTGACGGTGTAACAGTAGAAGGATTTGTCACTTCCATAAACACTTTTATTAGAAAAATAATTATTTTAAAATTTTATATTACCTATGTTTCAGTTCAGCTTCAATATTTGATTCAGCCACTCGCCTTGGTAATGGATTACGTTCCAATACAGAGCAGTAATTAAAAAAATTATTTAAATGAATATCCTAAAAATATATACCATAATCATTTATATACTAATGACAAGATACATAATATATTACACAACATAATACTTGTGAAATAAATTGTTTATTTATATATTATATTATATTTAATTATACCCTAGGATGAATAGATGACACTGGCTCCAAAAGTACTGTGAATAAGCCCTTATGATTTTCTACCCACTCAATTCCAGGTAATGCCACATCAGGTGTAATATAAGAATAATTTGCAGGTGGTGGTGGTTCTAATGCAACAGGTAAACATATTTCTCCAGAACTTAAACATCTATCTTTTAATAGAGGTAACCACTAAAAAAAGTTTAAAAAAAAAGTATAATAAACATATACTTATGTGGGGTGTCACACCATGTTTGTACCAACTGATAACTCTTATAATTTTGAGTAAATGTTTAATTAACATACTTAAAATTATTTTATTGATATTGTTGTTTTTGCCTTACTTAAAAAGTTCAATATTACAAATGTAAAGGAATTATTTACGTAAATATGTTAAAAGAGGAATTAAACAAATATCTAAATTTAAAAGTACAGATAAAAAACATTGGAACAGTATAGGACAAACACCATGAAACAACAATTATACTTAGAGGATGCCACACCTGCATGTGATGTCTCCATTTTACAAATGTACGTCATACCAAAGTTTGCGTTCACAATAATCTAATTTACTTTTATTTTTAAAATTTGAGTAAATTGACCAATTATAAAATTTAAACGTAAGATTATTATCTAGGGCATCTTGGTGGTTTATATGATATTTTGATTACAAAGCAAGTTAAAACTACATTTTTGTAAATAAAAAACCTTTGAATTGCCCAAAAGAAAAATCTTATCTTCAAATTGTATAATATGTCAATACACTCTAATTTTAAAAATAATAGATTAAACTGTATTCTGAATGTACAATTTGGCATGTTGTACATTTGTAAGATAGAGACAACATATACAGGTATAGTGTCCTCTTAATATGACATTATGAGTTTATTTATAACATATTATTATAAAAATATAATAATATTATTTTAAATATTAAAAATAAAATATATACTGTATATCCAATTGGAGTTTCTGGAGGAACTTGTGGTTTATGTTGTTGATTATCTTGAGCACCAACAAGAGTTCCGCGACGACGGCAGCTTACATGATAAAATGTAAATAATAAATGATGACGGTCATCTAAATCAGCTGGTAATTTTATCTTAATTTCATCATAAAATGATGGACAGCGTTGATGGTAGCTAACTGTTGTATACGCTTCACATACATAACGAGGACTTGAAGATTTGCCAAAAATAGCATATGCTGCATCTTGTGGTTGTCTTTCGCCACACATTAATTGAACTTTAACCGCAATATTTCTAGCAGAACCTTAAAAGTGATTCATTCAAATTTAAATTAAAATTTAATTTTGCATCAACTCTCTTTAATACAAAAAAACATAACTGTTTAAATATTTGTTTCAATTAGATATAAACTTCATAATATAATACCTGTTCTTCCTGCAAAGTTCAATTCTTTAGGGTAAACATAAAGCAAATTACGATAAACATAGTGAGGGTTTGAAACACGGCAACTTGCTAATGGAAACTCCAATATTTCTCTAATTGGTCGAATTTTATCCTCAGCTGCAATATTTACAATAATTATTTTAATACATTTTATTCATAAATCAGTAACATAAAAAAATCTTACAGGCTATATCATATGATAATAATGGTATTAGGTCTGCAGTCAAACACTGTTTAACTTCATCAGTTGGACAAGGAGATATGTCTAATTTCAAAGAACCGTTAACATTTTTTAATTTTTTTGATGGGCAACTTGAAGGTTTTTTTAGTTCTTGTAGCAATTTATACAAATCATCATCTTTAAGTTTATCGGTTTCCTACAAAATTTCACAAAAAACAATATAATAAACTTGAAAGATTTACAATAAATTACACATATCTTATAACAAATAGATAACATGATTTCTGGAAGAAGATCTGACATTATAGAACTGTTTAATAAATGAATGTTTGCAAAATAAAATCAATAGACTTCTAATATCAAATTTTAAAACTATTAAGCAAAGTAGTATTGTCCTTGTATCTACTAATGTTATACTTATATAATTGTATCTATTTATTTCAATGGGATAAGAACAAAATACAACACAATGGAAAATTATGGATACAGAATATAAAAGTTAATTATGCAACTAGAATATTAAAAATGATATACTTGTTTAAAAAATCCATTAACAGTGAGGGTAACTGGCCGGAATACATCAGTAGTAAATTCATCAGAAGACCAACTGTATCGATTATCAGCAGTATTAGATGTACTTAGCGTTCCACTGCTATTAGCTGCTGTTGAATAACTAGTTCTGCGATCTAGTGACCCTCGACGAACAGCCGTATTAGAATCCATACTACTTCCACCGGCTGCAGTCCACTTTTTACGAAATCTATCAAATTCACTAAGTCCAAACCTTCCATCTATACGTAATTATATTTAAAATATTAATATAAATATTAAAAATAATTGATTTTGAATTATATCAACAAATATACATTTGTCTTACCTAAACTATTTGATCCACTCCCTGTACTATTACGATCAAGGCTATCTGAACCACCAGAACAGCAAATCACATCTGCCAAATGCACAGCAGTCCAAGCATATGGCATTCGATATTTAACATGATGGTGTTGAGTTGATTTACTACTTGATTTCATATCCATCTTAATCATTTAAATATATTAATATATAAAGCTTGGTATTTATTATTAATTATATATACCTTATCGTTGTTAGAAAATGCTGATGTATCTGAAGCAGAAATTACAGAATCAGAATCACCACGTAAGGGTTTCTCTAGTCTAATGACTAAAAATAAATCATCTCCAGAAGTCGATCCTGTACCATCTATATCAAGTACACACGTACGACTGCGTGTAGTTGTATCTATTTCATTTCCAGCTGCAGTACACGAGTTGAAATCAAAATAAAAATTTTCTGACATCTTTTTCTTGCGCCGAACATCATACAATGACATATGAGCATATATAGGTTCAGTTTCTATTTCCAAACAGCACCTTTTATTTTTTTTTGACAAAAGAAAACATTAAAATATATTTAACATAATTACTACCAATATTGATCAGAATAAATTACTCAAGTTGTAGACATTTGACTAAAATTCGACGGTTAGAAACAATTTCACGTGGTACTGGTGGTTTAATCGGGTATTCAATATAATTATTGCCTTTTTGTCGTGTTTTTACAGGTAAATATGAGCCAAATAAACGATTCTGAAATAAAACAATATTCATTAGTTTTATGATTTCCATTTTATAAACATATAATTGAATAAAAAGAATTCCAATTATTTACATCATATGAAAGTATTTATAGTCTTAGAGATGGTTAAACATTTTCAAATTAAATAAACATAGGTAAAAAAGTAACTAAAATATGATGAGAATAATATCTAATACATTTTTATAGTTAATAGTTATATTATACATTACTTAAGAATAATAACAATAATCAAAATAAATGAAATAAAAAAGAAAGTTGGCAAATTTATCATGTGCTTATTGAAAATATTGTTTTTTATCTAAAACAAATATTTCAATGAGAGTTAATTAAATACATATTAAACCTAGCAGTTAGAAATATTTTACTGTAATCAATCATATTATTTTATATACTATTGTATATATTAGATATTTATTTTAAGTGGCAAAATTGTTGTATTATATGTCATATTAGAGAAATAATATATTATCATAATCTTACAGATTACTTTGGATAAGTTTTATAAGTTTTTATTGAATTTGAATGCCAATTAAGGAGTGCATAGTCAAATAGATTAAATACAAATTAATAAAATATTTCTAAAACTTTTTCATGTAATACTTTTAATCTCAATACTTGAGCACGAGAAACTTAATCTAGGAGTAGTGGGTTTTATTATATAAATTACTTTCAATACAATGTTAAGTGAAGAAACAAAATTACAATTTAAATACATAAATATAAATGCCATAAACAATCAAAGCAGTCCAAACGTTAAATGTTCTCGAATTGCTTCTAAAAATAAGCCCATATACCATAATTTAATTGGCTACTATATTATTATTTAATAAATTATTTGTAATAGTTCAATACATACGACAACATATATATACATCTCTAAAATATCTATAAGTTCAATTTAAAAAGCTAATTATGTAAATGATTTATTTCTAATATAATTTAAATGATGTACTACTCCAAAGCTCTTTTCATTGTTTATGATAAATTTACATTAGCTACAGCCAACATAAACTAAATTAGTGCTTTTTCAAATTAAAAGAAAATTATTGTAGATTTTTGATGTTTAGGACAAATTATTATCCTGGCACCATTTAATTTCTAGTAAATATTTTTGTCTTCAACTAACTAGATAAATTATAGAATGAGTAATATTTGCATAGGCACAAATAGGGGGGCTTTAGGGGCTAAGCCTCCCAAACATTTCCTACATTTTGTTTTAAGTGTATTCAATATTATCAAAGTAAGGCTTTAGCCCCTCCAAATCTCAAACGCTATTTGCGCCTATGAATATTTGATACAATCAATCATTAATGAAAAGAAAAATTAATTAATTAAATGATTGAACATATTATTGATTGAACATGGAATTTTTCATACTCTACTATCTTATAATTTGTTTGAAAATTAATAAGCCCGTGAGAGAATCAATTCACCAACACCATTAATGGCTTTGATATTATTTATTAAATATATCATATGTATAAGCATATGATTAATTTTATAAAATACTTACTCTATATTTTTATTAATTATATTAGTTTCAAATTAAGAATTAAATTAATCTAAAATCTACTGTTCAAATATACATACATTTTAAATTTGATATAAAACTATAAGTACTTGTCTATTTTCTTGTCGTGCCACTGCATTTAACCTATCTAGTGTATCAATGGGTAATCTCTGCAATACAGTTCCAATTAACGGATCATTAGCTGTGTTAATCAGGTCTGTAGCTGAAGATGAACCACCACTGGTATTATTTGACACCAATGTATTTTCAGTACTTGAAATATTGCCTGTAGAACTTGAATTTTTACTGCTGTGTTTTATTAAATCTTTAGGTTGTTGTGACTGCAAATAAATCAAAATTTTCCAACATTTAGCTTTAAGTGAAACAATCAATTATTATTTTATTTTACATAATTATGGTGATCATTTTTATAAATTAGACGTTGTTGAGTACGTTGAGATGCAGAATTTGTTGAAGTCCTACTATAAGTACTGCTTCGAGATGAAGGTATCCAAGAATCTTCATAAGCTAATAAACTTGATCTATCATCTTCGACAGTATTTGTTTGTCTATAAACATAATCAACAACGAGCCAATCTCGGCTGTAAGCTCTAACAAAATCACGTACATGTGGTGCTAGTTTGGTGCTATATTTGACATAACAAGATAATACAAAATTGAGAAATTAATAAATACTAATATCGGTTCAAAAATCCAATACAATTTCATTAAACTTACATATTTTCTTCAGGACCTGCAGGTATTAGTGAACGCACTTTACGCGCCAGAACATAAACATCTACATCATCTGAACCTTCAGGAAAATCCATTAAAGGATCATCATTCTCAATACTGCCACCACAAGTGTGATGTTGGTGATTATAGTTTTCATAATCCACAGGCTCCACAATCGTAGGTATAATAGCATCTACTCTGGTAGGAATACTTTGATCATTGATTGATGGAATAGTATTAGCGTTAAAAGACGCTGCTGAATCTTCTGACAATTTTGGAGGTGAATTGACACTAAAAATTAAAACCAAATTTAAATTGAACGCGTTTCAAATAAAAACCCAATACTAGCTACGTACTTGCTGCTGGTAAGTTTTTGAGCAAATGCTCGTTGCATCTGAGATACCATGAGTAAATGTGTGTATTACTGATAATATTTTAAACTAAGGGCGAACGCCATAGTATGTAATACGTATTCTTTCTATGCAAAAATTCCGAACCTTAAAACATCACTCACTGAACAAAACACAATTCTGCATAAAACACCTATACCTAGTTTCTTTCGAAGATTACGGTCTGAAAATGTACAAATTAAAATTGTTCCCAGTGGATTGGTAAATAAAATTATTAAAACACAATGATAAAAAAGTAATTTAATCGTATAATACGTGAAAACACAAGAACAATCCAAAACAAAAGACGATCACCATTCACAAACGTTTAAATTGCATAATTATTATAAATTATTCTCATTGACATATTGAGATGAATACAATATTGTTTATTGATAAAATATTACGTGCATTATTTTATTATCATTATTATTATTACTATAATTCACCAACAACAATAATGTTGATAAAAAATTACGAGTATAATCATAACAATGTTAATATATTACTATTATTATGTATAATAGTTGTAGTGTGCCGTGGCCCGTGGAGGTAAATTGTTAATATTAAGCATCGTTCACACAATACTACAGCGTGACACAAATTACTCGATGAGAGTTCTGAAATTATTGCCTGTCCAGCAGCAAGCTGCAGTACTGCGCATGTGCCCTATGGCATTATGTCATCCGCAGAAGAAATTAACTGATAGGTTATCACTTATCAACATTAAAAATTCAAATATAATTATTAAATATCATTTTTACATTTTAATAAGTATTATTTTTAAATTTTTATCATAATATAAAATTTTGATTTTGGTTTACCAATTCAAATAGTAGGTAAGTACCTTTTGGCTATTAGCAATGTAGTCTGTACATTGTATATTTTATATACCCGATTAACGTTTTACAATACCGACAAACAGTGGATCTCAATAGTGTCTTGTTAAATTGGTAGCTACAGTTCAAAATATATAGTACATCAATAGGTGCAACTAGAGTTAAAATTCTTGGGGGGCTACAACAAAAAAAAAATTTATATTTATTTAAAACAACCTATATCTAAATCAATAACCGATATTTTGGGGGGAAGGCTAAATCTTGGTCAGGGGGGTTAAGCCTCATAAACCCCCCTCAATGATTATACACCAGACCATGTACGTTTTCATAGACTACCCAAAACGCTGTTTTCCAAGGTTTGGTTTGATGCTTTTAGCTTGTGGGAAACCAAATATGATTATAAAAAATGGCTAAAATACACTTTACTCCCTCAAGGATAATTCATTTTTGTTTTAATTCTTGCTTTGTGTGCTTAAAACGATCGCGAAGGTGTAAAAATCTATTTTCGGAAACTATTATCTCAAAGACAAAAGTTAAAGCCGTTTCAAATTTGTGATTTTATGTTAATAATAATAAAATAAAAAGTACGTATTGCGCTCGTACCACTTTCACTTATCACATAACAACACAGTGAGCATAATAATAATATTATGAATCACATCATTAGTTGGTTAATAGGTTAATAAATAAATTCTGTAATCTCTGTATTTTTAAAGTATATACTTAAGTTGCAAGTACATAGTAGGCAAAAGGAGCCACTATATACCAACCTATTATTTAATTTGTTAGGTCTATACCCATAAACCGAAGGGTAGGTTAGGTTTACTTGTTGGGTTACCTATTCGTCTGCCGGAAGTAGAGAGCTTGGCCTAAAAAAAAATATATCATAGAATTTGTTACTATAATTTTTATATATTTATAGTTTTCTTATATGTATAAAATATGTCGTTGACGTAAATCTAGCAATATTTGACACTATATGTAACATTAAATGTAGGTATACGAAACCAACGTTTCTCAACCTGTGGTACGTAGAACTCTCGTAGGTGGTACTTACTCTTTTTTTTTATTATTTATTAATTAAGAAAATCTACAATCTGTATAATATTACACAATAGGCAGAATTGATAACAGATATAACACTATAAACATACATATAAAAAAAAAAACAACATGAAACACAAGATGAGGGAAAACATCCATCCATGGTACCCTCTAATAGGTGGTACTCTAAGAAAAATCTCGCTTTATAAAAAAAAATGGAATGTATCATTATTCACAATATATATTATTTGGTTTTTTTATATTAAATAATAATATAAATAACAATTGTGCATATTTTATTTTATTTTTATGAATTAAATGTTTATAATATCATAATTTTGTGGATCCTAATAAAATTAATTTCGATACATGTAAATTAAAGTATTCGGTATTGATTTTAAGGCTCATAGCATATTGTTTCAAAGGCAGATGAAAAATATTAAAAATCCTTAGAGACAGTTTTTGAAGTTAAACTTCTTATGTGAGGGGTATTGAAAAAAAAGAGAGTGACGCTCGGGCGTCACGGACGCTCGCGCGTCACGAAAACGGTACGATGTTTTGTTTATAAAGTTTTTGATATTTTCCGTTTCAATATTTTGTAATCTTTTTGGAAACATATCATATGATATTATAAACAAACCAGTATAAACGTATAAACCATGATAAAATAACATGGTATGATGGCAACGAACTGAATATCGTCGGAGTTTGCGCATTTCATTGTATCCAGTTCTCCTCATAATGCACTATGTATATATATTGATCATGAAAACCAATGAAAAGCGGCGAACTGGATACAGCTCTGTATGATGGTCGGCGGGGTAAGGGGTATGCGTATCATAAAGTTGCCAGCATACCATGTTATTTTATCATGGTATAAACAATATTCCGTAGTCAAGTTGATAAAAGCGAAAACGCATATATAATAAATATTCCAGAGTGCGCGATAATATAATATAATATAATATAATATACTATTTTTAGGTGAGTCAAATTATGTATATTCAAAATATAACTCGATGAATTTCATCATATTATATGACTATACTATAAGTATTTAATAAATAATAATAATAATAATAATTAATATTTAGTTAATATTTGACACATTTACAATGACCAACGCACCTATATTTTTCAAATAGTATATAATACTCTGATGGTTCAATTGTATAATGATATGACATAATTTGATATTACTAAATATATATGTCTATGGTCTATCAAGTATATTTATTTATTTAATATCAAATGTAATAATTTATGAATAACAAATTGATATATATATTATGTACCTACATAATATGACTAATGTATTTTATGGATGTATGTATATACATAATAGTAGGGTTATATTATATGTATGGACATGAATTACTACTGATATTAGTAAATATTTTGGTCCATTGGTCTAAAAGTATAAATTAAGTACCTACACATAATATTATAAAGGTAGGTAGTAGGTATTACTTAATGTATTACGGTTTTTAGGTGAGAAAACAAAATATAACTTAATGTATTTAATTAAATTCTGGCAGGTAAATTGCATAATGGTATGACTAAACTATACTATACTAATTAAACTATTTAATAAATAATAATAATAAATATTTAATTAATACTTGATTTCATCTACATATTTACCATTACCAACGTACCAATATGTTTCCTTTATACTTGGATAGAAAATGGTACAAGTACAATTATTTATATTATATATAAGTAACCTACATGTATACTTTGTAGAAGGTACCTACTTGATATATCATTATTAATACCATAAATATATATATACCATTAATTAACATAAGATTATTATTATTATTATTATTATTACAAAACCTCATATCAGTTGTATGACTGAAAGAAGTTTCACTTCATCCCCGCGTACTTCTTACACGCTCGACTTTTTTTTTTATGAGCATTTAAAGTTCAAAATTGACAAAATATGGAAAAATCAAGAAAATTAGCAAATTATTATGAGTTGAGAATTCGTAAAAATTTTTCTTTTTAAATCTAAGATTTTAAAATGTAATACAAGATTCCTTATAAGGATCAATTCAAAAACGAATAACTGTAGATACATGGAAATTTCACTGAGTGTTTATATTATAGCATTTCCTATACACCATACAATTTTGAAAATATTTTGACTCTTTTTGAGCTGTTTACGGACATTTATAGTTTGCAATTTTTTTAGTTTTTTTTTCTATAAATATCAATAAAGTTTTATCTGTTGGGCCAAAAAGTGTAAAAATTTTAATACAAGGCTCCTGATATATTGTTACAATATCAATTGAAAAATATTAAAAATACATAGGCACAGTTTTTTTTTATAAGCATTTAGGATCGAATTTTGACAACATTTATCAAATTTAAAATTGAATAATTATTTTGTAGTTAAAAATGTATAAAATGTTCAACTTTTATTTCTAAGGATTGAAAATTTAAAACATGATTCCACGTAAGTATTTAATTCTGTTAAAAAAAAAATCTAAACAATACAGAAGGATAGTTTATTTTTATAGTCATTTTAAGTTAAAATTTGGACCAAATTACATATTAAAAAAAACTTAGAATAACTATTTTAGTTATTTTGTTGTGATTGTATAAAATTATTCGTGGGTAATTGAAACTTCTAAAGTGTACTATTATAAATCAACTCACTTGTCTACCTTTTCTTTTATAGATATTTTTAGTTGAAACTTACCAATTAGATGTTTAGACGAAGATTAACAATATTTGTTATTCCATTATAATACAAAAACATTAATTGTGGTGACTTACAACTTTTACTTATATTATTACACAATATATACATATATAATATTTATATATATTTATACACACGATGACATTTTATAATACAAATAATATGCAATGTTTTCGGCAAAATTTAGTTCAACCTATTGTTTTACAATTAGTGAAATAAATTACTTTAATATCTGCAATATAAATATGATATTTTTACTTCGCGCCGCCACTGTCGATTGTTAAAATGTTATAAATTTTTTATATGCTAATTAAATGTTATAGTACCCATTTAGTATTTATATATTGAAAGGTAATGTGTTAAAATAATAAATAATTCTCAAATTTAAACATATCATGCAGTAAATATTCTAACTTGTGAA